TTTAATTCTTTTGGAGTATCAGAACTATTATTTCAAGACAATATTCAAGATTGGAAAACAGGCTACTCACTACTTTTAAACTCAGCTATGGCAAAATCCATAAATAAAGATCAGTTCTCCCTATATAACAGTAAATATTATCTGTGGTACTTATATTTGAAATACCATCAGTTCAATCATATATGTGGTATTCGGTAAATTTGAATGTAAAACGACTGATAGCACAACTTCGTTTGAATAAATATTCGCTGTTTGTTAACAACACTTATATAAGCTTATTGACAAAATGTTTTTTATGTAACTCAGACGATTTAACACCTTATCATTTAATATTAAAATGTCCAAAATTAAATGATATTCGTGAACACTATGATATAACTCGAATTTATAAATGCAACTCGCCAATAGAANACTACGTAATGATATATTGACGATAAATCAAGAAAAAATAACATATAGCCTAAAATTGAGCAAATTGGTTTATGTAAACAATTTTCATCCTTATAGTTATCAAATAGATACAGACAGTTGATATCATGTTAAGCAAAAATATATGCAATATAATAAGGTTATAAAAAATAATCAAATGGTTTCCATTGCTAACTGGAATGGTCAAGGAATAAAAAATAAAATATCACTAATAAATAATTTTTGTGTTAAATACAAGCCGGATATTTTACTGCTACAAACTGTTAATGAGATAAATTACCTAGGAATTAACTTTGATTGGAACTTAACATTTAAATCGCACATTTCTAAACTCAACAATAAAGTCAAACAAGCAATTGATAATCTTTTGTTTTTGTGTAGCAGATTGAAAACTTCGGACTTAAGAATACACATGAAACTTTACAACTCGATTATTAATCCAATGATGTTTTACGCCAGTCCCATTTGGAGCTTGGATTATCTCTATAAATTAGAAATATTTCATATCTACTATTTACGCAGATTACTTCAGTTAGAACAGACAATACCTGGATATGCTCTACGTCATGAAACCAACCGTATATGGTCCTTCCCATTTATATTAAAACGAATCATTAAATTTTATTACAGACTTAAATTCAATAGTGACAACAATTTGATTGCTTTGTATCATGAAAACATTAAGCAAAGTAAACTTCAAAAAATAAACAGTTATGGTATAGCAAATTGAAAACTATTTTTAACTCTTTTGGAGTATCATAATTATTATTTCAAAACAATATTCAAGATTGGAAAACAAGCTACTCACTACTTTTATACTCAGCTATGGCACAATCCATAAATAAAGATCAGTTCTCCCTATATAACAGTAAATATCATCCGTGGTACTTAGATATATTTGAAATACCATCAGTTCAATCATATATGTGGTATTTGGTAAATTTGAATGTAAAACGACTAATAGCACAACTTCGTTTGAATAAATATTCGCTGTTTGTTAACAACACTTATATAAGCTTATTGACAAAATGTTTTTTATGTAACTCTGACGATTTAACACCTTATCATTTAATATTAAAATGTCCAAAATTAAATGATATTCGTGAACACTATGATATAACTCGAATTTATAAATGCAACTCGCCAATAGAATTGTTAAAAAAAAAACCTTCAACAAAATGAGTAAAAAAGACTTATATAAAATGTATAATTATTTTTGTAAAATAACCGACTTTTATAATAACAAAACAAATTAATACAAATGAAGTTTTTAAATATGCTATTACTAATGAAATAGAACAATTTAATTGTAAGTTTTAAATTAAACTATTTGAAATGTATTCGCGGAAAACAGGTGTAAATTAATTATAATTAAAATGTATGGTTAAGTTAAAATCAAGTAAACAATGTAAATGTAACCCCCTTGTAATAGGGAAGTAATTCCCATTGGACAATAAATTTTGATTGATTGATTGATTACTGTTTAATGACTATTTAGACTTTAGGGTACNTGGAAATGCATCATTCTCTTCTTCCTCCTCAAAGTTGTTACCTGTTATTGAAGCTAACCGATACCAATTGTAATGCTGAAGATAGTGAAGAATCATGCAATTTACAGACTGCTTATTTCTCAAAAATTGCAGTCCCTCACATAAGACTGCAGTGTTCTCTGCACAATTGAAAATGATTCTCTGGCAGTTATCAGTGGTTATATAATTAGATTGCATGCTATGAGTGCCTTGAAATCCTCAACCATCCAGCAAGTAATGGAGCTCTTTTTGGCTTAATATCAAACCAGGATAGAAAACAGCACTGGTGGGCGTAATTAGAATTCTCACAGATTTTTTTGATTACTTACTGAGACACAAATCCTTGTCAGGCTGGTTTGAATAAGTTATGCTTGTAAAGATAATTTTGCCATATTTACACCACAGTACTGGGTAGTTTTTAAGACTAATATTGAAGGTACAAATTCAAATCACAATAATTGCATGTGCAATATAATACCACCAAAGTTTGTTAGTTAAGGATTGCAGAACAACAGGGATACCCAATGGAAATGATAAGAAATTAATCACAACCTTTCAAGCAACAAAACATCAGCATACCTCATTGAACTGAAAACAAAGGGTAGTTTAAGTTATGTATTCCTCTTAAAAATGGGATATAAGAAGGTAGCCAAGGCTAATAATGTCCAAGTGATATATTGATGCAACACTATGGTTTTCAGAATTTTAAGGAATGACAAAAAACAATATGACTGTAATTCAGCCATGAGAATCTACTCCATCCCATTAGATCAGATCCAAAACATTGATTGTTTAGTCTATGTGGGTGCCATGATGTGCAACTTGCAATGACAACTCAAGGAGCATAAATATACAATTGATAAGAAGCTCGATAACACCACACTATCAGCTTACGCATGACAACAGGACATTGATGCTTGCTCCCATTGGACATGAATTATCAAACCAACAACAAATATACACACAATGAATTATCTTGAAAGATTAGAGATTTTTAAAGCACATAGAAGACCTGGCTGCATCAACCATAGAGATGCAGACACATTGGCTACCCGCATGGCAATCTTTTTATCAAGATTAATTTTATTAAGAAACATTTATTTGTTATTTATTTTATTGCCTGCAACTACATTTTCAGTTATTTATTTATTTATTTCAGAATTCTTGTTTTCATTTATATTTAAATTTATGTTCTATTTTCATGTTCTATTTTACGGTAACTGAGGAAGGTCAGTTAAAAACAATCAAAAACGTTTTTATTTTATATTTTAGTAAATTTTATTTGCTGGATTGTTAAAAGTGTACTTTTATTGTAAAGAAACTCTTGGTTGATTGTTTCCATTACTAGTTAAGCTGCAATTTGAAAAAATTGTAGACCTATAAATTTCCACTGTCATCTGTCCGTCTTTTTTTAATCTCGAGAACAGCATTAGATAGATGAAAAACAAGACCAAATATGGAAATCATAGGGATAGAAAGCCCCTTTAACTATATACAAACGTCCAATGTAAACATAAAGTCACATTATTTCAATTCAAAACTTCTCCCTTAAAGCAGTTAATAGATGACCAGCACAACTCCATTGCTAACAGAAAAGTATGATGTACAGGGGTAAGACTCTACAGTAATAATTTAAGGTAAGAGCATATATTTTAAATGAAATAAATTTAAAATATGATTAAAATTGCAGCCAGACTGTGAATGTAACTATGTCACAATAAATAATTGCTTGTTTCTTTTGATTTACTAAGCCGAAGTTTTAATTTCTTTTAGTAACTTCAAACACACATTAATTGAATATGTCGACTTTATTATTGTATTCAGAAATGCATTTCAGGTTCTATTAAATCCCTCTTCAGTCTTTTTTTACAGATAATATTATTATTTGATTATTTAACACAGATTGGGCAATTAAACTGGATATATTAATTTAAAAAAAACCTGCATATGGATAAAAGTACAGTAGAGTCCTGCTAGTCCAAACTAATTGGGACCGAGCCCTGTTCAGATTAAGATTTTCCAATTAGCCGAATAATTGAAATAATGCAGAAGCAAGCAGTAAAACAGATCCAGTTTATATAGATCCAGCACTATCAATGACTTTTGTTTATTTTTGTGTGTAAGTACAGTATATATCTGCTATTTTAATAGGCCATGGCAAACACTGATTTATTAATTTTGTTCAGTATTAATACAGTACTACAATAAAATGCAATTTTTTTTTGTTGTGGAATTCTAAATCTTTTTGTACCATTAATACTATTTAAATTCAACTGAAAATACAAAAAACGTATATTTTGCAAGCTAAAAAATTTCCTCTCCACCAACTGAAACATGTTCGGATTAGGCAGACATTCGGATTAGCAGTGTTCAAACTAGCGAAACTCCACTGTACAATTGATAAGGTTTAAAAAATTAAATAAATAAAATAAACTGATATAAAATTGGGTTCATAAAAAACCAAATAATTTTGTTGATTCTCATACAGTGCAGTTTTGTTTTTGTGATTGTTTAAAACCTATTTTTAAATCCAATTTTATATCAGTTTATTTTAATCAGTTTGCAATTCATTTTTAAAAATGTTATCAATTGTACATTTACCCATATGCAGGTTTTATTTTAATATATCCAGTTTTATTGTCCAGTTTTAATACCAATAGTGTTAAATAATCGATTATCTGTAAAAAAAGACTAAGAAGGGGTTAAAATAATATGTACTTATACTTTTGGGTAAAAATCCATCTCCAGGCATTACAAATTTAAAAAAAAAAAAAAACCATTGAAACTATGGTAACAACACAACATCTATAAAATTGAGAAATTGCTGTGTAGAAATTATTATTTGTACTTAAATTTCACTAAAATCATTAATTCATTAATAATCTCTAGTAAAGCAATGTTTTTGTTTTTATTTGTATTTTTGGAATCATCTCTCACTGAACAGAGAACATTAAATTAGTGAAATTTGATATTTTATCCTTAATAAGAAACAAGTTTGTTTATTTTCAAACAATTTTATAAATCTTCAATATATATTCTAACCTGTTAATGCTGTCAATACCAACAACTGAAGAACTATTAAGTTGAAGCATACTGCTGGTTGGAAGCTCATGACTAGATGTGGAAGTAGCATCAGATTTCTTTCTGTAAAGATAAACATTTTTTAATTCAATATTAAATGCATTCAAAATTATATAATTATATATATAATGTATTGTAAAATTTCGTTGAATGGAAAATTTTATGGAAATTAATTTGAAGACAGTCTGTCCAAACTGGAAACCATCATTTATTTACTTCTAGTTTTCCATAATACACACATTTGATGACCCAAGCTTTTGTTTTAGACTGTTTGGCTGTCAAGTTTAAAAAACATCCTTTAAAAAAACAAAAATATCCAATTAAAATTACAAAGTTAAAATTGGAACTGGTGAATCTTACAGACATCTTCATTTTCTTTCCATCCTAACTACTCGGAATATTTGAGCTTTATATCTACTGAGGAAAAGGCACTGTTAATGTAGATTTTCTGGAACACTAGAAGTAATTAAATGGTGGTTCTCAGTTTGGACAGACTGTCTCTTCAAATTAATTTTCATATATATCAATATATAATATAAATAAAAGTAAACTTTAAATTTTTAAGAATATATACCTATTGACTAGAAGAATGTTAAACTTGATTCTTATATACAAAAAAGTAATAGAGAAAAAGAAAAAAGTATAGAATTACAAACCCATCAGGATATTACCTGTAATGTACAAAATTTTCATTGAAATAATAATCAAGAACTTAACACCACAGTTAGATTACTATCAACTAATGAAACAAGCTGATTTCAGAAGTGGATTCAGCACCCATGATTATAGATAAGCAGTTATACTACTAATATAAAAAATGAACAAAATTTCAGAAGTTCTTTTTACCTCTATGTCCTTATTTTTTATAAATTTCTGTCTATATCCTGTCTACTTGGACCTTGTCAATTAATAGGACTTATTATGCTGGTGTAGTTTCTAATTAGCAAATAGAGAAGAACTTAGTCAAAAGTCAAAACAAAATATCTTTATTTTCACCTGAAAATAAAGACCACCACTGTATGGTTTGCAAAGTTTAGGAGGCAATCTGGCATTAAACATGTGTTAATTCACAGTGAGACTACTAGTGCAGATAAAGAAGCTGAGTTGTTGTCTCAAATTTGAGGAATTCGTTTAAAAAGGAGAATATTGTCCACAACAGATTTTTAATTCTGATGAAACTGGTTTATTTTGAAAGCACATGCTGAACCATATCTAAATCATAAAAGACAAGAAAAATATTTCTGGGCATAAACCATCCTTTCTCAAAGTGGGTGATAACACCCCCTTGTGGGTACTGGAGGCTTTCAGGGGGGCAGTAGAAGGCTCAGTGATTAAATATGAGTTTTATTTCTTCTCATTGAAACATTCTTTGATCTCAGAAATAGGATATGGGTCACACCCTATCTATCCTATCCATATAATAATGCATGTTTAAACATTATATTTGCAATAACTGTTTTTACGATACATAACAGATGGTAATGTAAAAAGGTAAGTTAAAAAATATGGGGCACTAGATTTTTTTTTAATCTCAAAGTGGGCAGTGGTCGAAATAAGTTTGAGAACCTGTGGCATAAACCCACAAAAGACTGACTGACGCTACTTTTGGGAGCTAATGCTAGTGGTGATATGAAGTTTATTCCACTTCTTGTCTATCATTCTGAGAACCATAAAGCATTCAAAAAATTTCCATAATTAAAGAAAGACTGCCAGTGATGTGGAGATAGAATAAAATGGCATGGATCATGCAGGTTTTTTCAAAGAATGGCTGTTTGAAATTTGTGTTCCAAGCATCGAGGATTACCTTAAGACCAATGAATTGCCATTGAAAGCACTATTGCTATTGGACAATGTACCAGGATACCCAAAAAAGATACTAGTGGTACTTTATTCTTACAACTATTTAACTATTATGCTAATTTTTTAACTGTTTATTTGTACATACAGCTGAAAAAAATTTATTATAACATATTAAAACAATAAAGATATTTTTATTCCAAATGAACTTAAATGAATACTGTTCTACACTAAAAATAAATCCTAGAAAATATTTGTAGATTGTAAATAAATTCATAATAATTCTCAAACTTCAAAAACATTTAAGAAATGACATATGAATGTATTTACTCTATGTAAAAAGCATTTCTATAATTAACATATTTTATACAATGTAACTGATCATCTTTGATTAAATTTAGTAATAAAAAACTTTATTAAGTATACAAACTGTTTGTAAAATGATAGTGATCGCTTTTTTCTTTTCTTAAAACTAAATAAATAAAATTATTATTATAAAACAATTTTCAGTAATTGAGTAGTCTTTAATAAACCACATGCTTCAAAAATTTAAAAAAAAATTTTACATAATTCACAGCTTAATAAAATTTCATCTAAAAAAAAAATGTACCTGAATAAAACAAATGCTACAATTATACCACTTTTATCGTCAGCTGAGATTTTGTATTTTCTCAAGTGTCTTTCAACAATCTTAGAGGTTACTAAATAAATTATGAAGTTATGGCAAATGGCCAATATGAAGATAAGTCAATGTGAAAGCAGCTTGGCTTTATACCAACATTTCATAAAGCTTAAGAAACGTATTCAAAATGTATGAAAAAAAACTTATTATGTAAGAACTGGTAAGAACTATTTAAAAGTCTGACATATTTAAGGCTTTTCAAAATATTTGTATAACTTATATAAAAAAATTTACACAAAATGAAATAATTTGAACTAAAAATTTACTAAATAATTAAATGTACATTTTTCTTTACTTTTTTAATTGAATTTTCTTCAGATAAGCTCAATCTTAAAAGTAAGAATTGCTGAGATTAAAAACAATCATTTCAATAATCTTGTTTTGTGATCCATGAAAGTCATCAAAATCGTTTATATTTTTGATTAAAAAAATTATCTGCATCTGAAAATATCCATTTCACATATATGATAAAAAATAATATTTATGGAGCACCCAATCCATTTACAAAATTCTTCTAAATTCTGAAATGTATTTGAGGGATAAATAAATACTTAAATAAACCATTCTTTCTAAACTTGATTTCTATTGAAAATATTAAATAATTGATTAATGACTAATTAAATACATTTAGTTATGTAAGTATGTTCTGCAGAATGTCTTCCTGGTTACCATTTTCTGGTAGATAGTCTCTTGAATTTTAATACTAGAATATATTTATTCCCTAGTATGATGGTTTTCAGTTGATGCTTGTACAGAGAAAATATATATTTATACCTTAAAATCTCAACACATTTTTAACAAAACAAAACAATGTGCAGAACACTCAAGTTACATTCCAAATACAATTGGCAGAAAGTCAGAATCACTTAGATATTTTGAACACCTCACAATTTTTCAAGTCTCATCACAGAAATTGTCTTTTTCTTATTGCAAATTTTTGTATGTTTTTTCTAATAAATTTTACTATTGTATTCTATTTTGCCATCTTATTGTAAAAGTAATATTTATAGAATAGCATGCAGACTGTATATGTTATTACATAGAAAGTAGCTCTTTGTTAACAACCATATTAATTATCTCCTCATTAATTAACAAATTTATATATATTTTTCAAATAAATGAATGTATTCTTCTNATACCTCTATGTTCATATTTTATATTTTTATGTTACTCCGTTGGTTATATAGACTACTTTTTTGTTAATTTTATTTTATGTTATTCCGTTGCTTATTTAATTTTTTATTTTGAATTTTGTATTCTATTGGTGGAATGCTTTAATTCAAATTTCGTTCTCAAACCTGAGGATGGCCTGTAAATCAGGCTGAAAACGTTTGTTTTGGAAATTAAATATATTTCTCGGCAAAAATAAGGTGTTATTTATATATTATTTATATTAATTTTACAATTAAACTGATAACAGTGTTGGTACCAGGGTGATTGTTGTCTTTTTAAACAGATTTCCGCTTCATGTTCCTTTAATCTTTTTTCCAATCTTCTTTCTGTTTCTCCTATATAACCTCTCTGATTAGCACGCGTACAGTACAAGATATTTCATAAATGACTCCCGCAGCTTCTAATTGTTTTTCTAGTATTTTTTGGCCTTCTTTATTTATGATAATAATTATATCCTTTAACCTATTCTTTTGTTTTGCTAGTATACAAATAGATAATTTATTAAATTCAGGCTTATATTTTTCAAATAAATGAATGTATTCTTCTATAAGAGATCAATTCATTTTTTCAAATGCATATAACAACAGAAAATACTTAGGCATTTAAATTTCCATGATACATAAGTGATTTAACACGTTTTATTCAATGAATTGGAAATTCATTCCTAACACTAATATAATCAAGTATCTTTAAAATGCCAAATATAAATATTGAGAGATTTTCAATTCAAATAAGCTTATTTTCTTGGAACAATTTTTTTCACATTTTGGAATAAATATTTAAAGTATTTTATCATTAATTTAACACTCAAAATATTTTATTAAATGTCTTTTTTTCTTTTTTGATAAATTTAACACCAATAAACTGTCTCATTGTCTTCATAATTATCTTCACATTGGCATATGCCATCATTATTTTACAGGTATAATAAAGCCATATGATTAAAATAAAATAAAGAAGGATGAAGAATAATTTTGAATTTTATTTTACCACTAATGTTTTCATACTTGATCCAGTATAGCTGCTCTGCAACAAACTATTTCCACGTTAAACAAATTTTAAATACTATTTTTATATTCTACAGTTTAAAACTTTTCATTTCTTAAAATTTAACAAATACTGTAATTTTAGGTGGATAGCCTGCAGGTTTTTTTATATTTGAAAGAAAATTTGAAAGGGAGTGTGTGGCATGCAATGGGGCAGGTTATATGCAATTTTAAATTCTGATCACAAGTTAAAGTTGGTTCATACTATACAACTGGCCACTGGCAGACAATCTACCTACTGGACTGACAATTGAGGAGTTGTTTGAAATGAGGTTGCTAAGTTAAATTTTTATATTTTCAGGAAATACTGTTCTTTTCACATACGGTTTGTCATGAAGCAAGTAAAATGTAAATGTTAATGCAAA